CTGTGTTTAATTTCCAGACTTGAGCCCAGTGGTCAGGACTTCAGCAGGCTCCTGGTTGCCTGATGCAATCGAGCAGCACAAGTGCTGTTTCAAGGCCCTAACTTGAGTCCAAGAAGTCACAGCCTTCAGCCTGGGCTTGTGGCCCCTTGAAGGCTACCAAGGAGCCTCAAGCACTTGGCGGACTCACTACACTCCGTACAGGGATTATGTAGTACCATTGTGATCTACTTGATATTTACACCCATCTGTGGGGGATTATCTCCAAATATTATTTTACAAATTGAATGTTTTTCAAAGAAATTTGGAGATACAAACAAGGGTGAAACTGGTTTGAAGATACATGAAGAATTGGTCAAGAATGTCAACCTAGAGAGTATTAACACATACCCCTTAGGATTACAAAACTAAAAACATAACTTATGCTATCCACAAATCTTGTTCTCGAAGAAAAACCCTGCAAGCAGTTTCCCTTCGAGCAAAACCCACACCTCTAACTCCAGTCTCAAGAGTTGAAACCCTACTAATGAAGAGTCCCTTGAAAACGAACTCTAGAAGAGACGTATCAAAGGGACCAGTCCAAAAAACTACAATACTACCCTGACAACTGCAACCAGATAGTCAAGAACATACAATCTGGTAAGCAACCAGTCCAAGAAAAGAACACCCTGACCCAACGAAACGCAACTAATTAACTAATAAGATTACATCATCAACTAGGCGAAACTATTGAAGAATTTGATATAAAAGGACCTATTAGTTTGCGTTGAAAGATGGAGAATCATCTTAAATCCAATCAAACCAATTATCACTTTTAGAAAGATCATTCTATAACATTTCCAAAACCCAAGCCGATTACTATTAAATTAGAACTTATTACTTTTAGTGATAACTCTCTTTCAATTGTCTCAGTTGTGTTTTATCACAAATTTGTTATTCTATTCTGTTCCGTCTAAAGGTTTTACGCATTGACTCAAAGATCATAACCGCTCGAAATCATACCTTCGCTACAAGTCTAACATAGATCGAAAATCTTCTCAGTTCGAATAAAGCTAGTCTTTATTCCTATCCTAGAAGTAGACCTTACGATCGCCCTGAGATAGGAGTACTTTGTACCCATCTGTAGAAGACCTCAGAATATTAATTAACTATCTGGTGAGTACCTAGTTTGTTAAAAGCTATTTTAATAAAACTTTATCGCTAAATCAATTAGTGGCAGGCTCAAAGTTACCTTGGTAAGGATCACAATTCTCACTGAAACAAAGCCTATAAAAATTATAGTCAAAAGTACGTACATTCAGTCCTACTATTCTAAAACTTATCTTAGTTTTCGATACTTAGGCTGACATTTGGGGGCCTCATCTCACTTAAGTTTTTTTTTTCTTCTTCTCTCCTACGAAAGAATTCATAAAAAAAAACGGGACCTGTACCTTTTTCATTAAATCATTGAAAAACACAAAAACAAAACATATAAAAAAAATACAAGTTTTCTTTTTTGTCAAAAAATCTTTTTCTCTAATCCAAATAGAATCATCAAAAAACATTTTTTTCCCTTTCTGAACTATATAGTGGATCATTTAAATCTTCTCCAAGAGCTTCCCTTCTTCGAGTATCCAGATATTCATCCATTCGAACATCGAACTATAGTCGAAGTCCATAACACATCTGAAGCATACACATATATTTGGGAATTCCTCCATAACCAAATACGAGAACCAGTAAGCACATCGAACACATCAATTTCATCCAATACGGAATACGAAGAACAGTTAGTTTTTTTTACAGTGTTAAAAAAAAGAAGAAACAACACTAACATATACGTTTAATTACGACCTGCACATAGTGTCCCTCGCACCAGTCTCACAATTACCAACCTACAAAGCGCCTTCAGACAAGTCCCAGTCAGCGGACACCACTAGAAGCGAAGTCGAAGAGTTACTAGGCCCAGAAGATAACACTAGTAAGACATTGTGTATTCTTTTTTTTAGAAGACAGAATTTTTTACTCACTCATTACCTATAAAACACTGTTACAGTGAACGGAATCGAGACTACCAATAAGAACAGTGATCCATCTAACAACACGACTAGGGTGCCAAACCGAGATACCTTCGTCATCAACCCGAACCAAATTGATAATTCTGCATTCGGCTTACCTGGTCCTACCAACAATACAAACCCAATACGTAAGTACCTAGCCAACCTTGACAAATTAGAAGTAAAAAACCGAGTATCTGAAATGGCACCATCTACCAGAGCCAGTTCCAGAGCGTCAAGCATTTCAGACACCGCAAGCACGACCCAACCAACAGGACAGCTTGCCGTACAACCAATTGAATCCGGGCAATCCAGCACCTCCAGCCAGCACGACGGCTCAATCACAAAGTACCGTGCCCAAGACAGGATTGATCTTCGAAAGACAAAGTCAAGAAGTTCAGGAACTACTGTCCCTCCACCAACAGAACAACCGTCAGTGGATCCAAGCACGGGAAGACAAAGACTTGACAGTCTTCAAAGCTCGAACTCAGGATGCCAAAGAGTTTCATCGCAAACTTATCAAGAAGATAGGATACAAACCCCTCATGGAGTGGACCCACGGATGGAACCCAACAGAGTGGGATTGGACCACGTTCGAAAAGAAAGTACGACCAGCAAAGAAAACTCCATACGATCGTCCGAAGTCATCACGCCGTCCAGCAAGGATGACGAGAGCAGAGGAGATCTCATCCATCATCGACTCAGCGGGGAGAGCTTTGAGGAATTAGACCGTACCATTTTGCCACTTGATAGGGAGATGCTGAATCCTTTCCTACATCATATACAGACACTCTTTGATCCCATTGTATATAACTCGAAGAAACTCACTATTGAAATCATATCAATCAAGTCACTCTTTAAAAAGCATGACCAAACTACCAGACTTGACCATATTGACCAAACACTTACTGATCTCATTGATAATGTGAATAATCAAGTGAAATCGTTGAATTCGGTAAGTGCCGCAACACAAGCACTAAGAGAAGAACAGATTGAGTTTAAAAAACAAGCTATTCAGAATTGTGAGAAAACCGAATATGACAATATTAAAGCCTTGATATGTGAAGGAAACGAAAGTATTAAGAGTGAGATTTCCAGAGCACTTAACCAGTGTGTAAGAACAGTAGGGAACAACATCCCTGACGAAGAGGATGAAGTTATGCAAGAACTAAAAACCTGCTGTAAACAATTAATGAACAGAGTAGAAGATATGCACCACAACATGGGTCTCTTACACACACAGAACTTGAAACAAAATCAAGATAATTTGTTCCTTCGATCCCAGAATGAAGAAATAATCCTTGCTCTTTCGAATCTCAAACTAGACAGATTCTTACATGAAGAACAACCAACAAGACGTAACAGTCCCCTCAAAGACGAGCAAATCAGGGAACTACCACCCCATATGATCAGTACGCCGGCAGAAACATCACTGTCAGATGACATTAGCCCACCACCACCATCAGGTATACTACCGAAAAAAATAGTAAAAGAAGAGTCGGTTAAACCGTCGCAGAGTATAGAAAAACAAACGAGCACTTCCCTTAACAAAGAAATCACTGATACAGATGACAGCATTGTAGAAATAACAGAAGAAAAATTCAACTTAGATACTAGCATCTATAAAGCTCTGAAAAACGAAGTACCCTCGAGCAAGAATTGGCCAAAATTCTCGGGAGAAGGTGAATATGACCACTTACAATTCATCAAATGGGTTGATCGTACCAAAGAAGATATGCACATACCTGATTCACTTATCACAGCACGTTTAGGCTCAGCGTTTACCGGTTTAGCAGCACTATGGTTCACAGATAAAAGAGACGAGAAACAACTCACTTGGGAAGAATGGAAAGAAGCACTCAAGAAAAAATTCGGCACAAGGAAATGGCGCCGAAATATGCAGTCAGCATTTGATAAGGATTACTTTGACGCCCGTACCAACCCCGAACCAGTCAAATGGCTAACAAAGCAACGTAAGAGATTACAAGCCGCATTGCCTAACCTAACAGACGAAGAAGTTGTTGACAAAATACTAGAACAGTGTTCAGGACAATTAGACCATGACGTACGTAGCCGAATGAAAGAATGGGAGGATTTCGTAGATTTTTGTGAAATCTTCGAGGAAGTAGTAGATCGCACGACTAAAGGAAAACAAAGATTCGTTAGAAAAGACACAGAGTGGAAGACCCAAGCCACTACAGGTACTACAATTAATCCTAAATCCGGAACATCCCGACTAACCACAGTTAGGATCCCTGGAAAGTGTGACACGTGCGGCAGCGAGGAGAAAGGTCATGATTTCAGAGCATGCCGCAGGAAATCAAAAACAGTAAACATGATAGATCAAGACGACCATCCAGAGGAAGAAACTCCAACCCCAATTTTAGAACTAATAAATGAGGATGTCTCATCGTCTAGTAGCGACGACGAAACAGAAGACTACAACGTAAGAGCCATCCATCATGAATCCTTCAAAGTCATGGATATATCATGCATAGAAAATCACTCCACTAACAATGCCACATTTATTGAAAAAACCGTACTAAACAGTGATTTAGGAAGCCCCTTTTTAACAGTCACCTGTAATAGTTGGAAGATAAATATCCTTATCGATACAGGGGCATGTAACTCCATGATAACACCGGGAATTCTGAACAGGATTTGGAAAACTTGGGAAACAGATCTCAAACCGAAGAAAGATAGAAATTACTTGAGTATTTCAGGAAGCTTGACAGCTATAGGAGAAATTACATTGCCCATATACTTTCCCCACACGACTAACCCCTGCATACTAATGATAGATTTCGTTGTCATTGAAGACGCTAGTACTATTGATACTATACTAGGTGCTGACATGATGAATGCATATCAAATGGGAATTATGTATGAAAATGGAGTAAAACTCACTATTAAAGGAATGACTGAACCATTTGAGCCCATCCATGAAAAATGTATCATAGGACAAAGCCTTCGTAGTCATAGCATCAGAATGATAGAATCATGTACTTCAGTAGACATTGCACAAATACAAGCAGAACTAAACATCCCACATAAATGGCATAACGGTTTAGATTGCAAACAAGTGAGCGACGCCAGACAACTAAAGTCAAGACCAGCAGCAGGAAAAGCTCACATGATAGGATCGCATAGCATCACCAATGTAATAGTCGCAGACCAGGAAGTAGGTTTACTCCTTGACAGCGGAGCATCGTGCTCAGCAGTAAGCAAAACATTTCTTAACGAGATAATAAAAGACTGGGAAACTCGTTTACTTCCCAAAAGTAGAACTACATTTTCAGGATGTGGAGGATCTTTAAAAGCAATAGGGGTGATAGAAATTCCGATGATTTTTCCACACAATGAAGGATCTATCAGAATCAAACCCGAGTTTGTAGTGATGGAAAACGCGACTCCTAGATACTTTATTTTAGGAGATGACTTCCTTTCCCTTTATGGCATAGATATAATGCACACTAAAGAAAAATACTTCACTATTGGAAATGATAATAAAAGAAAGAAATTCGCCCTTCAAACAGAGAAACCTGTTTTGAATATAACACATATAGACCTGACACCACAGATACAAGATAAAATCAGTACCTGCTCAAAACTTGTTACCACCCAAACCGAACAGATTCGTGACCTAGTACAAAAATTCTACATAACCTTTGGACTCGGAGAAAACAAAATAGGAACCATTGAGAAATACGAAGTAGAGATAAAACTTACAGTGGAAGCACCATGGCCTCCCATTTTGAGAAAACCTGCGTACCCTGCAAGTCCCAGGAACAGAACAGAACTAGAGAGACATATCAAAGAATTAGTCGATTTGGGCATTCTAAGGAAAGTTGGTCATAACGAAGACGTTGATATCACGACACCCTGCGTAGTTGCATGGCACGGAGGGAAGTCTAGGATTTGCGGTGACTTTAGAGCACTAAATGCTTATACTGTACCAGACCGCTATCCTATGCCTCGAATAGAACAGGTCATCACAAATTTAGCGAAAGCTAAGTATATCACAACCATGGACCTTATGAAGGGCTTTCACCAGAACAAAGTAGCTGAAAATAGTAAAAAATTCTTACGTATCATCTGTCATTTAGGAATATTCGAGTACCAACGCATGCCCTTTGGGATAAAAAATGCACCATCTTTTTTCCAACGAATGATGGATAATGAGTTTCATGACGAACTTCGTCTAGGCAGCGTCATTGTGTACATAGATGATATCATCATATTTCACGAAACATGGGATGAACACATAAACTGCATAACATCAATTTTAAGTAAACTAAAGAATTTAGGAGCAACAGTATCCCTAGAGAAATGTAAATTCGGATTTGATGAAGTAAAAGCACTAGGACACATCGTGTCAGGACTCACCCTTGCCATCGATCAAAACAAAGTAGCAGCTATACTACACAAACCACTACCACAGACTGTTAAAGAAATCCAAAGTTTTTTAGGATTCTCCAGCTACTATAGAATGTATTTAGAAGCGTATTCGAAAATCACAGCACCATTGTATTACCTACTGAAAAAAGGAGTAGAATTCTCTATCACTTCAGAACGAGCAACGGCATGGGAAAATGTAAAAAAGTTACTCACAAGCGCTCCTTGTTTATTACAACCCAACTTTGAAAAGCCTTTTATCCTTTACGTGGACGCGAGTTTTCTTGGCCTAGGAGCAGCGTTACATCAAAAACAAATTGTAAATGGAAAGATGGTTAATGGGCCAATATGTTTCATTTCGAGACAACTTAAAGAAAGCGAGAAAAAGTACGGAGCGCCCCAACTAGAATGTTTAGCTCTCGTATGGGCATTATATAAATTACATTATTATCTGGACGGAATATACTTTGAAGTAATAACCGACTGTCAAGCAATCAAGTCTTTAATGAACACTAAAACCCCTACTCGACACATGCTAAGATGGCAAATGGCAATTCAAGAATATAAATCATACATGACAATCACCCATCGGCCAGGAAATCTCCACAGCAATGCGGACGCGCTAAGCAGAATGGCCCTACCAAACACACAGGATAACCCTGCTTGGGAAGACGAAGACGTAGATAGAGATATCCCAGTGATGGGTATAAATTTATGCGAGTTATCGGACGAATTCTTTGATTCAATAGAAGAGAGCTACCAACACAATGAGGACACACTTGTATTGACTAAGCTACTTACTAGCGAATCAAAAGAATTAGCACTGGAAAACTCACTATCCAACGAATGGAGGAAGCCGCTACAAGAAGGAAGATTTTCAATGCTATCTGGTCTATTGTACCACCGAGAAAAGCACTCAAAAGTTGTAGTAATATGCAACAAGGAACATATCAACAACATACTGAAAACCTGTCACGATGACTTTATGTCAGGACACTTAGGAGAGGATCGCACTATACCCAAAGTAGCTACAACCGCATGGTGGCCTGGTTGGAAACAGGATGTTTCGACATACATCGCATCGTGTGAACGTTGTCAAAAAGCTAACAAACAAACAGGAAAACGATCAGGTTTAATGCAAAGAATTGAAGAACCCACCTTCCCATGGGAAATAATAAACATGGACTTTGTAACTGGCCTTCCCCCAGCAGGAAACGATAGTTCGAATAGTGTCCTAGTTATAGTAGACAGATTCTCCAAGAGAGCACGATTCCTACCCTGTCACAAAGAGATCGATGCAACAGGGACAGCAATATTATTCTATCAATATATAATATCAGACTGCGGATTACCAAGAGTGATCATAAGCGACAGAGACCCAAAGTTCACCTCTGAATTCTGGAAAGGACTCACGAAACTCATGGGCACGACTTTGGCGCTATCGACAGCATACCACCCACAAACAGACGGGTTAGCGGAAAGAATGATTCAAACCTTGGAAGATATGATTAGACGCTATTGTGCATACGGTCTAGCTTTCAAAGATAAAGAAGGATATATGCATGATTGGAAATCCCTACTACCAGCGTTTGAACTTGCTTATAATACCAGTACACATAGCACAACAGGGAAAACTCCTTTCGAGTTAGAAAGAGGATATAACCCCAGAATGCCGAAAGACCTTATCAAAAGCAAGAACATAGAAGTTCATCCCACAGCACTAAACTTCCACACCATGCTGAGTAAAGCCAGATCGTACGCAAAACAATGCGTTGAAGATTCTGTGAAATACAACAAAGATCGGTGGGATAAAAAACATAAAGAAACAGAATTTGTTATTGGAGACAAAGTATTAATATCAACCATAAACTTCAACAATATCCAAGGCCCAAAGAAACTTAAAGATGCATTTGTGGGACCTTTTGTTATAGTCAAATTACACGGACCCAACGCAGCAGAAGTATTGTTAACAGGAGAATTTTCCCGAAAACACCCGACTTTCCCAGTTTCCCTGCTCAAGCATTACAAAGAATCTAGAGAAGATCAGTTTCCAGGAAGAAACCAACAAACAGAACAAATAGTACCATTTGAAGAAGGAACAGATAAGATAATACTTAAAGTTATAGATCAAAAAACAGTCAAAATGAATGGAAAAGATACTGGACTCTATTTAGTACGATATAAAAATAAAAGCTCAGACCTAGATGAATGGCTTCCAGAAACAAAAATACCCAACTCTTTAACATTATTAAGAAAATATCGAGTAGAAAAGAAAAATCTTTGAAAAAAAAAAAATTTCTTTTTTTTCGACCCCGGTGAGTGTCAACCTAGAGAGTATTAACACATACCCCTTAGGATTACAAAACTAAAAACATAACTTATGCTATCCACAAATCTTGTTCTCGAAGAAAAACCCTGCAAGCAGTTTCCCTTCGAGCAAAACCCACACCTCTAACTCCAGTCTCAAGAGTTGAAACCCTACTAATGAAGAGTCCCTTGAAAACGAACTCTAGAAGAGACGTATCAAAGGGACCAGTCCAAAAAACTACAATACTACCCTGACAACTGCAACCAGATAGTCAAGAACATACAATCTGGTAAGCAACCAGTCCAAGAAAAGAACACCCTGACCCAACGAAACGCAACTAATTAACTAATAAGATTACATCATCAACTAGGCGAAACTATTGAAGAATTTGATATAAAAGGACCTATTAGTTTGCGTTGAAAGATGGAGAATCATCTTAAATCCAATCAAACCAATTATCACTTTTAGAAAGATCATTCTATAACATTTCCAAAACCCAAGCCGATTACTATTAAATTAGAACTTATTACTTTTAGTGATAACTCTCTTTCAATTGTCTCAGTTGTGTTTTATCACAAATTTGTTATTCTATTCTGTTCCGTCTAAAGGTTTTACGCATTGACTCAAAGATCATAACCGCTCGAAATCATACCTTCGCTACAAGTCTAACATAGATCGAAAATCTTCTCAGTTCGAATAAAGCTAGTCTTTATTCCTATCCTAGAAGTAGACCTTACGACCGCCCTGAGATAGGAGTACTTTGTACCCATCTGTAGAAGACCTCAGATATTAATTAACTATCTGGTGAGTACCTAGTTTGTTAAAAGCTATTTTAATAAAACTTTATCGCTAAATCAATTAGTGGCAGGCTCAAAGTTACCTTGGTAAGGATCACAATTCTCACTGAAACAAAGCCTATAAAAATTATAGTCAAAAGTACGTACATTCAGTCCTACTATTCTAAAACTTATCTTAGTTTTCGATACTTAGGCTGACAAAG